TAATAATAATAATAATAATAATAATAATAATAATAATAATAATAATAATAATAATAATAATAATAATAATAATAATAATAATAATAATAATAATAATAATAATAATAATAATAATAATAATAATAATAATAATAATAATAATAATAATAATAATAATAATAATAATAATAATAATAATAATAATAATAATAATAATAATAATAATAATAATAATAATAATAATAATAATAATAATAATAATAATAATAATAATAATAATAATAATAATAATAATAATAATAATAAATAATAAATAATAGTGAAAAATAACAGTAATAGCTATTTGGTGGAAGGATTATAAATGATGTGGAATTGTTCAAATGTAGCCATAGTAACGATTGTAGTCTTGGAAAAATATGATAGAAAAGCTTTGAAAAACAATGAAATATGGATAGAAAGACGAAAAATCATCAATAACAATGAATGATTATGTGATTATATGCAAATGTTGTCATTTCAATATGACAGTTTGTTATTAACATGATTTTTAACCTTTGACTTCATGGTGGGTGATAAGGTTTATAATCAACGACGATTTAAAAGTATATTACGTTAAATGATAATCCAAAATAATCTTAGAAAACCTTGTTGTTTCTTTATGAACAATATATCCAATGATATTTCAACATATTATATTCTACTTTTTACAAAGCATCTATTTCAGATCTATGTCGTATTCGAGAGCAATTCTAATTTTAGCTTTCTTTTTTTTTTTTTTTTTTTAAATTAAAGTTGAATGAAAAGATCAAGAGAAAAAAAAAGGAAGAAAAGTCGTTCTTTTTTATATTTCTTATGAAATGCTAATGTCATACTTGAATAATTCGATGGTTTTTCTACTTAATGATGTCAACAAATAAAAAAAAAAAACTTCGCGAAAATTTAACACAACTTTTTTCGAGAAGTCAATGCAAGAAATATTTTAAATGGTTTTGGATTATTTAATCTTTCCATTGGCTATTTTTAAATTTTTGCGAAACGAAAAAAAATGTCAATAGGAAGGATAAGGCAAAGTGGAAAGTTGGTCCATTTTAGATTAAGTAAGAGAGAAATCAATTAGGTAATAACTAGGATGAATTCTATTTTAAGAGATGAGAAGGGAAAGAAAAAATGTGGCATAAAGTTTGAGATTGAAATTTTTGATGAGACGAATGTAAAAATTTGATTTATGCTTGAAATTATCGGATCGTTGTCTTTTTTTATTTTTTTTAAATGAAAAAAGCAAAACGAAAAGATTTATCGTACTTTGTTCTCCTTTATAAAATTGTATTTTTTTTTTTTATTTTTTGCTTGATATTTAAAATTTATTTCCAACTAAATCGTAGCATTCGTATGAAAAAAGAGTTGAAGGATTATTTGAATGGAATAATCGAATAAATTAGGCAATAATATTAAAATTATGTGATGTTATTGTGTCATTTCACTGGAATTTGCTTTCAGCAAATATTTACACCTCAGAAATTTCATACAAATTGATAAAATTTTGGAGAGAGAGAGGGGGAAAAAAAAGGAAATTTACTTGCCATTCCTTAGTGTTATTAAATATAGCAAGCATGGGAGTAAAAAAGAAATATATTGAATGATATTTTTAAACTTTAAATTTTCCAAAGTTCAAAAATGAAATTAAATTAGTTTCAAACTTTAGAAAATAACAAAAAAAAAAAGAAAAGAAGAAAAAGACCATTAACAAAATTTATAGAAAACTAATCATTACTGGTATTCTTATTTGCATAAATCATATTGACATTAATTTGATATTCTTTCCTTTTTTTTTGCCCTCTAGGCAAAAAAAAAAGGAAAGAATATTAAATTAAAGCTCCTTATGATAACCTTTCCACCTCCCTCTCTCTCTCTCCCCCTCTCTTCCTCTCCCTTGCTTGTCTTTCGTTTTTTTCCTTTTAATGCAAATTTGATTTGGAAACTTTTTTTTTTGCTAAAATCCCCTCCAATCAATGTTATCTTATCATTCCTTTCCTTTCTCTCTTTTTTTCTAAGAGAAAAGAAAAAGGAAAATAAAATCAAATGGCATGGAATGAAATTGAAATAGGAATAGGAATTAATGTGAATAATATATAGAATGAAATTGAACAGAAATGTAATACTTGTCAGCGCTAATGACTTGAAAGGAAGGGAAATTTGATGTAGTTCAATGGAACTAACAATGAGTTTATCATTAGTGATGCTTGAATGAATTATAATGTCAAAATAATATCAAATAAATTTCATTTCCATATTTTATTAAGTAAATTTGTTGATTGATATTTGTTGAGATTCAGTGAAAAGTGGCTAAAAGCTTGGATAGGAAATGGAAGGAATTAATATTACATGAAATATTTATTGAATTTTTCACTTAATTTAACCAATAGAAGTCTTTTTGTATTAATTCTAGAGATACATACTGTATAAGAGAATACTAACAATTTATGGAACTAAAGATTCTATTAGAATAATTCAGGGAATAAGAAATGGTATTAGATTAATCATTAACAAGATGCCATCATATAATGACTTCATTTTTGAACTATATTATCCATTCAAGAATTCTTTCGAATATTTAAGATCGGTAATTTGCAAAAAATAAATGAATAAATAAAAGATAAAGAAAAAGTAAACAGAGAAGAGAGTAATAAACTGAGAAAGAATATAAAGAGAGGCAAAAGAAACAAATCAAAATACACGGATGACAGTTTCACTTCTTTTTTTTATTCCGACCATTATTCCGTAATATTTCCAATTAAGGTTTATTAGAAGAGAAGAGAGATATTGTGAATAACATAAAATTTCCAATTTACAGTGTATTTTGAATACATTTCAAAGCAAAAAATGCCTTCAATATTAGACAATATAAAATGAAATTGATGAAATGATAAAATTTATCACCTCTCAACATTTTCAATTCAACAGTAATTCGGTATTAATTGCAATTTAATTCCAGTTATTGATTTTTCGCTACGAGAAATCTTATCCTATCATAGCAGAGAATTTAAAGAAATGAAAAAATGAAACAAATTTTCCCATTTGATGAAAATAGCATCAAATTGTTTTTTTTGTTACAGCATAATATCTGACTTTCTTTTGTCTGCTGATAATATTAAAATTGAAAAGAAAGGAAGACCGGTCACAATAATGTATGTTGACACTTCTCTATCACTAATAATGATAATATTCATATTATTAACGGTAACCGATTATTATCATTATCGTGTTATTCGTACATCAAATGCCATTAATTATGGTAAATTCTCAGGTATCAGTATAGCTTACGTGAGCTTCATAAAAAATGTTAATCATTCTATTGGGCCAACTGGATTATCGATGCTTATCAGACATTTTCATATCAGTTAGCATTCGGATTACAAGTAGCAATTCATTTTCAGACTAAAGGCTTCTAATAACGTATCTGTTCCTATCCATAAGGAAGCAGGAAGAAGGAACCAGAACAAAATACACCAAGGAAAAGAAAACTATCCGTGAAATAGAAATGGAAAATCAAAGTGCAATTCACGCCTACACAGTCTATGAAACTTGTTGTCCTGAGATCTATGTTTTCATGTTGGGATCCTCAGAATGATGTGCTACTCTGCTATGTGCCTTTGCTTGGATTATAATGTATTGCCACTACTCGGATTAATAGTATTTAAAACGAAGAGATAGAAAGATTGATAGTGGAAGGAAAAGATGTATAAGGAAGAATTAGTTAACCAAAAACACACATTTTATTGAAGAGACGACAGGAAGTGCTAAGTTTATAAGACAGAATATAATGTTGGGAGTTTTAGGAAACTTAACGATGATTATCGTTTGATGATTAAGATGATTAAGATGATTAAGAGAATAAAAGAAATATGACGAAATGATAGAGGGATTGAGGGAATAAGGGAATTAAGGGAATAAAGGATTGAGGGAATCCATATCGTGGTGAGAGAACAGAGATTGAGAGTGATTTGTGGTTTCATATTTGTGGTTTAAATAATTTTTGTTGTCGAAATTTTAATCTTGGAATTGACTTTTTTAATTAGGAACTTAATTAATTTCGATATCAGTTTGCTACATTTGAGGGAAAAGTTTGGTATGAATCACTTTGTTCTTTATCACTTCTCATCCCTTTTTATTTGAAAGCATTGTAATGCTATCTGTAAAGCCTATACGATTAAGGCTATCCACGCGGCTCTTTCTAATGCTATTCGACTTTATACTTGATTGGCTTTTTGACCATATTTTTTCAATATGGCCAAATAATTCGCTTGTAAATGGACATTAGGACATCAGTCATTTGTTATTATTTTTGATTAGTCAATTTAGAAATGGAGGATACGGTGTTATCGTCGAGTACAACCAGTCCGGTTGATGCTATGTTTGAAAAATTCAGGGAATTAGTCGAGAAAGATCGTATCTTGAGAGATGTAAGTCTCGTTGTATCCGTAATCCGTATTCGTAATCCGCATCAGTAAGTATCTATATCCGTAATTTCAAATAATCATAGTTAACATTTTTACGTTATTCATAAGTTTAGACTTATCGGCTTAACAACAATTACGGAGCAATTTCAGTAAGAAAATATTAGGATTGCGGATAAATATGTAAGAGGGAAGGGGAGAAGAGGGAAAGGATTTCTGCTGTTTTTTTACTCATTTTCGCTTCTTACGAGGAGCAAAAAAAAGACATTTAAGTTTCCTTTAAATATTTAAAGAATATAGCGGATGTAGCACATGGAATGGAGTATTGGGTGTCGAAAATCCTTGCTATCTTGCAGAAAGCACATGCATTCAAGGATAGACAAGGTATGTTATATCGTTGGTTAACGAGGTTCTCCCGTGGTGTTTACTGATACTTGCCATTTCGGAATAGTTAACTTATCCGCACTTACTTTTAAACTTTACTTTTAAACTTACTTTTAAATCATTAATTTGAAGGGTGATGAATGCTATATTCGCTTGTTAATCATCTTTATTTGCAGATACAGATCTGAAGGAAGTGCAAAATATTCTAGATAATGAAGTGCAAAACTCTTTGATAAAGCTTGCTACTCTGATATCTCCCGTATCATATTATCGGTAAGTCTGGCAACACCTTGTTAAGCTATAAACTTTATCAAAGTAGAGTATTCGTTGCATACATACATCCGAATGATATCCACATATGAGGAACGTATAAACGAAGTTATGAACAAGTTGAGAAGAGATCGACCATTAATGTTTTTATTATTTTTACCGAATAAATGAAACTCAATTGTTTTGTCATAAGTTTGATGGCAGTAATCGAAATGTCATAGCATTCATATAACCACGTTGTGTCGTTATCTATGAAACACAAGAATACAAAACAACGCCATAATTGCATTCCTTTTAATCCTAGATTTACTAATTTGTTTGCCAAGATAGATTGTTTAACTTCATTTTCGCTAGGTAAATTTCTGTCCAGTGAATTGAGTTTATTGTCAATTTCAATTTAAATCATGTGGAAAGGATATTACCACGCTGTGATCTAAAAAATTCGAAGTAGAGTTTAATTTACGATAACTCACCTACTCAGTGGGCGGTTTCTGCAGTTTATCGAGCTTATTTTATGAAATTCGCTCCTTGCATAGTTATCTCAATCACAGACATACTTGTAACTATATACAACTGCTCTGATTTATCATCATTCTCACAATTTTTTTTTTCTTTAGATAATGAGCTCCGGATCTTACCCATTACAATAGCATAGTAGTAAATGTGGAATGAATAGTTGCAAATCTTCTTTTTCTTCTTTTTTTTTTTTTTGGAAGTTTCGATCTGCAAATCACTTTTTGTTTTTTTCAGCTATTACGATAATTTCCGTTTTATTATTCAGAAATTATGCTTCGTTTTGACTTATGCTCATTTTCTTGAACATGGATTTTTGTTGAGTCGCGACAAAGTTGCTGAAATCTTAAACAGTATGTCTTTTTCTAGAAAACTGGTAGATCAATTACATGGATTGATCGGATAATCACCAGATGATTTTTTTCCCGAAGAAATTGTAGATATTTGTGTTAAATTGTGATTATTAATAATACCGTTGCGATTGAAACAAATGTATTTTCAGTCAAAGTTGATCCAGCAACTGGTTTTCATCTGGACGTCGAGGACTATTTATTTGGTTTACTTCAACTTGCTAATGAATTGTCACGATTTTCCATTAATGCCGTTGTTGTTGGTAATAGCGTATTACCCTTTAAGGTTTATTTCTCCGCGGATTCTTATCTTGTTTTTAATTAAACGATATATACGTATGATATGCTGATCGTCATTTCTGATCATCATCTGTTGAGGAATGAAACGGAGATTTTTTAAAATCTCTTCAGATTTCAGTGAAATATGGCCTGCGTTTCAGAGCATCTAATTATGAATTTTTTATGCAGACATTTGTGAATATGGAGCGGCATTGATATAAAAATTTTTTGCTTACCTTTATTTGTGATATTATTTTCGGAGGAAACTTCAGAATTATAAGTTTTTTTTTCTAAAAGCTTCTAAATTTAGAGTTTTCATTTTCAGATTGCCGATTTCCTTTATGATCTCGATGCAAAATTTCGACTGTTAAATTTAAAAAATGATGGACTACGTCGAAGATACGATGCGCTAAAATACGATGTTCAGAGAGTTGAACAAGTTGTCTATGATCTTACAATTCGAGGTCTAAAGCGACCAGTAGATGAGAAATCAGTTGCTGCTTAAATTTGGAGTGTTTGTATACATTTGCCATGAGTTTGGATTATTTTGACATTTCGAAAGCTTTTATGAGTTTGTTCATTTTTATTACATTTTTTTCTCAGTATTATTTACGAATATTTCGTTGAGATTACTGGCACTTTCGATAGGATATAAAAGAGCTAATGCAGTCCAGCTATAATTATCCCAAGTGTCCCTCTTCCGACCCGTCTCTCTGGCTTTGTGATTGCTTTCATTCATTCGATTTTCTTGTTCACACTTCACAACTTCAATTTTACATCCTATTTGGAACTTTTGTCCTCATATCGTCTTATTTTAAAGGGGATGTGTCATTCAGATAACCTATTTTATTAATTCATCTGGAAGATAGGGATAAAATGATGAAATTAATCAAAAACGGATCAGTAAAAAATACATATGCATTTGAATCAAATTTCGTTAAAAGTCAAGGGTCACTTCTTGGCTATTTCTGAAAATTTCCAGCCTTTCTAAATGTCTATTTCAGTGATTAAGGTAAAAGATAGGGGTGATTGGGAAGAGGAGGCAAGATTTTGGAGAAACGAAACAATTAAAAATATGTTTAAACATGTTATTATATGTTTTATAAATAAGAAATGAAAATTCAATAAATAATCAAAGGAGGAAAGCTGGTACAAATTTTTACATGCAGTGGTTAATCTTAGCAAAATATGGAAGTAATATATGCCGCAATCGTTTTCGAAAGAAGGAAGTAATGCTTTCTCCGTTAAGTGGTTTTTACGAAGTCAGACAAGGAATCTCATTGAAACCTTTTAATGCGCTTTAATGCAATATAGAAATATATATTGAAATGCAAGCAAAGTTTTATTAGTGTCTCTTACACGATACATTTCCAGGAAGGCAAGCAATATCTGTGAATTTCACAATGCTATTGGCAAAAGTGTTATTATTGATAAAACTCGAATGAATCATAGAAGTGTATTTTGTTACATCTTACAGATGTTAACATTTAAAGAAATCGATCTGTCTGACTTAAGCGTCCCATAAATTAGAAATGAATTTTTCAAATCAATTTTGTAACAACCAAATCATAAAAGTCTATCCTTCTTTCTACTGTACATATTCCGATATTAATATTACATTTATTATAATTGTATTGCTATAAAGTTTTTCTAAAGTAATTCGGTTGTAATGAGAAAGTAATAAATGGGATATGTTTAAATCAGTCTAGAGATGTATGTACTTTTTATTAAGGCATTAGATTTGTACAGAAAAGATATCTTCATTTCATCAGATGCTATAGTCACAGTCTTTAAATAACATTTCTCACTTCTATTTTTCTATTCATATAAGACATCCGTGAATTAGCAATGCAGAAATATGAAAAATTAGGAATGGTTTCCCTACAAACTTTTTCTTGTTGGGATTATATCAGACTCATTGTAAGGCGGGAATTATACAGCCACAATTAGGATAATGATTGCATCAAAAGGGAAACACTAAAAATTTAATTTATGTCATGGCATTGAAATCCCCACTTCTAGAATTATCGTTGATGATTTACGCCAAAATCCTTATATTACATATGCCGCCCAATCATTCAGTGGTGACAGTCATTTGTTAATGTTGTTTAAATCAAAAATGCGGGATATTGATTTTTAATTCAAAAAGATCAGACAAATAGATTAAATTAGATGGGACTCTCACTAAGGAAAGTTTAAATTTCACCTTCGTCATAAGGAGATAATCTAATAAATACATTGATTAGTCGAATATGATCCAACGGCGAGTTTAAACATTGGGTAAATTACTTGATCCATTTATCAATTAAGTTGTACTGTCGAATTAAGTTGAATGAATGATTATTACTGAAAAATAACTTCATATGAATTTCTTCGTATGGATAATTTAAGAATAAGTACCTGAAATTGCTGTAAGGGATTTGTTTGTTTCTGGTAATAATTACGGATTTAAAGTCTGCATTGATCATTTTCAAAAATTCAACATCTACAATTTATTATTGTTAATTAACCAAAGTAAAGATTTTCATTTATTTATTCCAAAATACTAATTAATTAATGAAATAAATAGTATAAATTTGGAGATATGAACTTGAATAGTAGTACAGGTAATACAAATTTAGATGATGTGAGGATATATTGGTTTATATTAATTCGAGTATATTATTAGTATTCCGATTAGTCAATCAGCAGATTTTTCCTGTCATGAAAATCTATTTCCAAAAATATCCGCTCACTTGCATATTACCTTCCTTTTATTTTTTGATCATATTTGGTCATTTTTTCTTCCTCCTTCGTGAAATATAAGAAAAGTTCATCACAAAATAAATGACTTGCTCATTTGTGCATTTGTTTGTTTACTTCTTAACTTCAACAAAGTAAACAAATAACTTTAATCGTTTCACATCAACTGTAAACTTTATCAAAAATTGAATTACAGTTCGAAAAAGAAAATGATGAATGACATCTATAATTTGCGCCATAAAATAAGAAAAACAAATTTTATTTGATTTAAAACAAATTAGCTAAATTAATTAATTCTACTTTCCAATCGACTCACAGATAGATCTCCGAATTCTGATTTCCGAATTAGTTCATCATTTTGCAACAGGTTTTACTAATCTTTTCTGGATAACAGATATTATTTCCTTTCATAAACTTCATTACCACAATCTTTGCAGGAAAATACGCTTGATTTTTTTGTTTATCAATGCAAACCTTTCAAGAAAAAATAATTATTAATTAGATTTCAATAATTAAAAAGAATATTTATTACCTCTCAAATATAATCCTAAAAAATGAATAAATCTATTGACCATAAAACCATAAAGTATTAATTGATGCTTCTTATGTATATGTACTTTATCAAATATAAATTTTATTATTAATTATTAGAATATTATTTTGTTGTCTTATCAGATGAAATTTTTGATGGAATGATTAGTATTATCTTAAAATGATGTACTTTATGATGAGAACTTTCATTATCAAAGCGTGTTATCAATTACAATATAAGTTATGATATAAAAGAAATTTTAAAAAAAAAAAGATATAAAATAACAATAGAGCAATTTGAAATGAAAAAATACTTTAGCTTTAAAAGGTGATAAATTCCGTTGTTTTACATTTTCCCTCTAACTTGTGCCAATCTATTCGAAAATTTTCAAAAGTGTTTTTTCAAGTTATAATAAAATATCTTTTATCCTTAATTATTATCCAACATAAAACCTTTTCCAAAACTAATTCTTTGTACTATGACATAAATGAAATATGCAAAATTAAAATAACAAAATATTTCAATCATTGTAAAATTGATGAACATTTTCGGAATGAATTTTCCGGCATCAACAAATATTACTCCCTTTATTTTCTTCATCATAGTTAATTTATTAAAATTTCCTTCTCCAGAATTTCAATTAACTATCATAACTAATATGTTTCAAGTGAATTGCAAAGCCTTAGGCTAAGTTTTCCTGATTACATTTTACTTTTTCCTTGGCCCTTCACAATAGCTAATATCAATGTTAATATCTTGCTTTCTTTCAAGTTTACAAAAATCTGATGTAATTAATAATTAATGACTTTAGTGTTATCAGGAATTACGGAAATATGATAGTTAAAAACAATAATCCTTCATTTCCTCCTGAATTATGAGCTTTTTTTTCACTTTCTGTATCACTATAAAAGAGCACTGATGAGTATATATCTTCAGGTGATCATCCGGAAAGCAAATCCGATTACAGCATTTCTTACTCTTATTATATAGGCATAAAAATAAATGAATTACTAAATAATGATGGATACATACATATGTATACCAGTTTCTATTCTTGATTCGCTTCAACAAATGCGCAATGTGACATGAAGGTGACAAATTTATTTGTCATTGCAATTAAAATACTAAAATTACAAATATACGATACATTGATGTATACAATATTTACACAATTAAAATTATAAGTTGAAATAAGAATAAATGTTCTATTAGCATTTTAATCAATTACCAATAATTAGAATTGTGATAATTTCATGATAACATATGTAAATGATTTCTTATTAATTGTTGAATTTTCTCATGAAAGAACTGATTTATTGGAAATAAATGAATTGTTTGATAATTTGTTGGACGATAAAAGCACGTGGACATTTTGTTAATTTATCAGACCAGCAACTTTCAAGTAATATAATTAAGGTTGCTTTATCGAAGATCATTTTTTGGCAAAACAAAAGAAGAAATTGTGTTTACCTGAAATCATTTCCGGTAAAAAAGAAAAACAAGAATTGAATAAAGTGATTGATTTCATGTAATGCATACGTTTATCCGGTCAGAATTTTAAAGTTAACAAACCTTCCGGTATATTAACTTGCTCTATTTTAGGTCATACTTTGCGTACAACAAAATTATAAATGAAAATATGTGGATGCACCAAGCTGTATACGGTTTTCCGTGTCAGAATTTCCCGTAAAACCAATGAAAAAGAATAAATATCAACTCTATCTATAATCTTTTGACCCTGAAAAAAATGAAGTTTGTCATCGAAAATTAATATCAAACATTTTCATCTTCTATATTTTCAGGAAATGATTTCTGGATCTGAGCATACTTTGGAAAAATAACGCTAACCTAAGATTAATTTAAGCAATTTGAAAAGATGTATCGATGATTTTGAAATGTCACAAATGAATGAATTCAATTTTAGAGTTTTAAGCGTTATTTTCCTTACTGACACATGCGTGTCAACCCCTTTTGAAGGAGGAAAATTGACACGTATGGTTGCAAATTATGTCTACACATGCATGCTATGTATTAAGTAATTGAATATGGATATGTTCATATTTTCTTAAAAATAAAACATTAATCAGATAAGTTAATCAAATATACAAATTACTTTGCTTACATTGTTTTACTTTCTTTCTTCCCTTTTTTTTTAGTAATAATTTTATGAGCGAAGGAATTGATGCAATAAGCAAAGTTAGCATAATAGTAAAGGTAGCATAATTAATATAACAATGCAATGGTATCAAATCCTGTATTTGTTGTTACATCACCGGTAATTAATATATTATTTTGGGAAGTTATTGCAGTTTTTAAGCAACCGGAATCGGAGATAATTTACAACGTTTTTTCATTTACATTAGCCGGTTTAACATCCAAATGTAGCAACAAATTATCATGATAATGCACCAAGCCACTTATCATCTGAAAATAAATCAGGAAAAATCGAAAATTGGAAAAATTAAATCAGGAAAAATACTTTTTTGATCCTTGATATAACTGAACAAAGAATAAATTTGTGGTAAGTTTACAAATGTTAAAACACATCAGAAGGTGTGGCAATATATGATGGGATGTTTACCTGAAAAGCGAACTGTAGACGTTGTGAAAAGGTGACATGCCACATGTCAACACTAATTAATTGTTGCAAATTTTTTCGCTCCAATAAATTCTATCACAACCTGAAATTTTTTTTTTTTTTTTATTGAAAAGAGTGACTTATATATGTGACTGGTCATTTAAATATCAGAAATTTTGTTAGAAATATTACAAAAATAATTTAAAGTAATTTTTTGGCTTAAATCTTAGCAATTCATACGGTCATCCATTCTGTCATTGGTATTTCTCGGGAAAATGTGTTCGTGTTTCTCGGGAAAATGTGTTCGGAATAGTAATAATGATGAAATTGCCAATATTACAGAAAGATAGTATCAAGCAAATACCGGATGACGTTAATGCAACATCCTGAACAACGTACGGTGATAACGGTAATTCAGAGGTGATAACAGTAATTAGAAAGCATTCAATTCCGAACAAAACGAATAAAAATCAGAGGATGACGAATGTCGACAATGATGTAATTGCTTAATGGCTACATTACGATTGTTGTATACATGTCGAAATACAATACCAAAGGCATTCTCACCTGAAATGTTAGCCTAAAATTAGATGACACTTCAAAATTTGTGGGATATAATTTGAGTAAGTGTGAAATTAATATTTTATCATTCTTTTGGATGACAAAATAGCAAAGTTACGCTTAAAGTCTGATAAAATTAATCATTAAAATTTAGAAAAATTCAAGACAGTAATGATAATCCATTACTATTTTACTTATTTATAAGTTAATCAAAATGTTGAAAATTGATGTAAATGAATCGATTTAACAACCGGTCATATCTAAATAAGAAAGCCCTACATTATCATATATCATTTGAATTACTGTATCTTATCATCATAAGATACAAACAATCATTTTAACGTTTGATGAAATTTTTCATAAAAGTAATAAACCAATTCGATAATTGCTTTTCTCTTTAGTTGAATTTGTTGTTTGATTTGTAACTGTTAGCTCCGGTTTTATTTTTCCTGTCAATTATCGTAATATTTAGCAATTTTTGTTTTTTTTTTTTTGTTTCAAAAAATCTTTCATTAATAATTTAACTATCCATTCATTACTGAGATTCATCAACAATCATACTGTAAATGATATATTATCAAGATGACATTTGCCAGTTTTTC